ACAATATGATCATGGAAAAGTAACTTGTGTTTTTGTTGGTGTAAAATTTTGGGTTTTACAGCTAGTTGTGGTTTTACTAAATTTGCAAGTTAATAAGCCTTAGAGCCTTCTGTACAGATTAGATGCACTTTTAACTAATATTGCAAAAAAAAAAAAAAAAAAATTCCTGTAGGGTTGAAGCTCAACCAGAATATGAATGGATGGGTTTTTGGAGGAGTAAAAAAAAGTAATTCTTTTTTAAGTTTTCATTAAATGAAGCATTTGGGATGCAATATCTTAATCCAATACTAGAGCAAATTTTTGTTTGAATTTTAGATGTAAATCTTCTACCCTGGTAATTTCCCAACCCTAAATTTATATATTTATGATGATGATTAAATTAATTGGGAACTAATAGTACAGTTAATCAGTTATTTGTCCAATGCTCTTGGGAACTTGATGTTTGCTTACTTTATAGCTGCACCAAGTTATGATTTCAATTGAAATTGCCAAAGTTTGTTACAGTTTGAAGTTGTTGTGGCTTGTGAGATAATATTTAGATATAAAATTTTCTAAGTTTGCTTTGTTTGATCCCAAAGAAGTTATGGAAAGATATCTTCAATGAAAAGCTCCAATTCTATTCATTTTACCCGTTGGTGACAATTGTAAAAAAATCTTTTATTTTTAGTATTAATGTGTTTTTGTATTGTTTGGAAAAAAAAATATTTTTACTTAATTCTTACTTCCAAGACCGAAATCCTGGCTCTGCCCCTGTTTTCAATGTGCTTATTTCCCTCGTTCACTACATTCATATGTGATATATTGCTTATTAGCTTACATCATGATTTGAAAAAACGTAAACGGGTACTGATACGTTTTTTTGTCACGAGGCGAGGCGTAAAAATTAGAAAACAAAAATATTAGTTTTTTGAAACTTCAATTAGTTTTTTTTTTCCAAAAACTTCATATGTAAAATTAATCAAAAATATTATTTGATTATTTGTATTTTGTCAAGTTTTGTAAAAAATATTAATTTCAAAAAATGCTATTGAATTGTTCTA